CAGGAACTGCTATCACAGAGTCCAGCCTGAACAGAAGTACTGGGATGATCACCACTTACACTCAGGATCTGCAGCACTAAGAAAGGATCCCACCAAGAAGAAATAACAGTAATTAAAACAATCTGTAACCTCATCTGAAGTTCCCTGCAACATGACTTGAGTGCCTTCCAGATTCTGAATGCTGGAAGAGAAATTTCTTCTTGATGCTAAGGAAAAAAGAAAAAAAATCAGAGCAGGTTGTTTCAATTTTATCTGGAACATTTCCACCTGCCCACCTCTTTTCTGCACAAAGCCTTTCCAAGTTCAGTGGAAGTCCATGCCTGGCTTTAAGCACAGGCAACATAGGAAGCTGCTGGGTGTCAGGAAGATTTCCATAGCCTCTTTGCCTCTGCTACCACAGCGGAAAGCCAGACCCGCTGCTGCTAGCTGAGAGAGGATCGGGAGTAGGGGCGGCTGATTGTAGTGGTGGACCAGCAGTAATCATAGCCTCTGACCCTGCTGTTCCTCAGGGTAAGGAAACAGCAAACCCAGCTCTCTGGGAAGGCATCTGTGGCAGCATGGCCCAGATGGGGGAAGCATTTTGCCTGCATTTGAAAAAAGCTTGGAGCAACTCTGCCTTACAAAATGGCAGAAACCAACTGGCAGCACCCCGCTGTCCCTGAGCAAGGCAGTGTCTCCCCTGCTTGCAGGGACTCCTACGGAGATGACATCCTTTCTTTTGCAGAGGTCAGGGCAGCAAAGCAGCCGTTCCCAAGAAAGCAACAACTCATAGCAATGCCAGAGCCCCCGTAGCCTGTCTCACACTGTGAAAGCAGCAAAAGCAGCGCAGGAGGGGAAGAATAAGGAATTAAAAGGATTGCTCCACTTTGGGCACTGCTATGTGCCGTAACTTCCTGGTTGCAGGTCAATTATCCCCACAGCTCTACATGGACAGCCTGGTATTACAATCACCTTTCCTGACATCGGCACAGAGTCTGGCTGCAGGCAGCTGCCCATCAGCACACCGTCTACCTCTAGCACTGCACAGGTTACCTTGTCGCAGGGCTCTAGATTCGGGTCTGAACCAAGGACCCATTACACAGTATAAAATACGCTAAGACATTTCCAATGCAGAGAGCTTTCAGTGCTGTAAGGAACAGCCTTGCTTTCCACACATTAGCACATTGAAATCTGTACAGCAAGCCTGTCAAACAAAGCAGCTGCTCTCTGGCTCTCCTACACCTCTCCTCAGATGGAAGAGCTTCAATTATGTGGCATGCCTGCAGGATTTGAGAGTTAAAAGAGCTGCTGCCATAGCACATACTTTAACCTTTTGCCTTCCTCTAGGCACTGCGTAAGAAGATCTGATGTACTGTCTGTTCATTTTCATATGGTGGCTCAATGCAAAAGGTTGCCCTCGGAGTTTGTTTTTCACAGCAGGGGTGTAGGAGTACAAAAACTGAAAGCTACTTACTTATTCCCTGCCCCTACATTTTCAGACTGGCAAGACAAGTTATAGAAAATATTTTCTAAGGGAATATGATCAACTGTAGAAAAAAGGTAATTAAAAGTAACTGCAATGTCCAACTTTACTTAATTTTATACAAGAGCTCTAAGACATTTACATACTTACAATCTTTAGACAAACACGACCACATCCCATGATTTTCAGAAGGAAGTATGGAACATCCTTCACAAGTAACAGTCAGGAACATTTGTAGTCCCACTCAGCTGCTGCTTAGATACCACAATAATGGCCATGCTAAAAGGCTTAACCCACTGATTTCAGAGAAGTAGCTAAATTAGAGCCAAAACAGGTACATCAACCTGTTACCTTAACTTGCAGTCACCTCCTGCTTTTCTCTCAGTCACTCTGGCAACATATCAATTATCACAATACTCAGATTAGCTCCTGTTTCTAAACAAATACTGGAAAGGTGAATCTTTTCCCCTAAAAAGATTCTGCAGCATAATCAGCAACACGTACTAAATACTTGTAATCCACAGTCATCTTCCAGAAAAAATAAATTTAAAGAGCTGTCGGTTCAAACTGCCAAATCTAAACTACTTGACAGTGTATTGAACCTTTAAACTTCTGTTGAGAGCAAAAGACGCATCAGACACATATAGGTCTGTAATCAGAAATGTCAGATGGTAAGACAGCATAAAGTCTTGTTTTATATGCATCAGAAATACATCAGCACGACAAGCATAGCGGTGTAAGATAAGGTTTCCTGCAAGAATATTTTAGTTACCTTGAGCCTGATTTTTATAATCATCCCTGATACTTCCCATAAACTCAATAGATCGTAAGATTAGAGGACCTGTAGAAATGGCACTTCGGGCATTTAAGCATTCACCTGACATGCTTTAACACAAAGAACAAATGAAAAAAATAATCTAGTTTGGAACTTGAGAAATTATCCTGCTCCAGAGCTAGCAGGATGAAGAAGGAGCCAGAAGGCCTAACTCAAGTGCCAAAAAGTACATCAGTAGTATCACACATCTTCTGCGAGATGCAGCTTACATCAGGAAGCTAGTTAGAAAAAGTGCATATGACATCAAAGAGTCAAGGCTGGAAATCAATGTAGGTTAGCTTCACGTCGCACATGAAGCCTGCTCTCTACCCCACGTTAGTCTGTCTGCTGCAGATTGCTGACATATTGGCTTACATGCTCTTATGGAACAAACTGAGTCATGCTGCTAAGACTTGAAAATAAACATTTTTAAAAAGCTCTGTATTCTGCAGGCAGTACATCCAATTTCACAAAGCTGAGGCTCACCATACATACACGCTTGCCCATTTTGCCCCCAAGATTACCTTTGTGCACCAACTCATTTCTGCATGCAAAACGCAGTTGTGAAACAGATACATGCACTCAACTTTAAGAAAAGAGTTAAGCCTTTTCTTAAAGGCCTCTTTATTTTTAAATTCCTTCAAAACATAAATTAAACAAATCAGATGCAAAACACCTGCATTTTAAATTAGCATATATTTTACTGTATCAATCACAGCAACCTCATACAGTAAGATACACAAAAATAGAGCATGGTATCACTTCAATTCAACACAGTTTTGTACTACAGTATTCCATGACATATATACAACAGGACTTTTCTTTTTCAAAGCAAGTACAGTCCCTGCTATGTTCACCGTAAAAATTACGTGGCATCACAGTTTTAGTTATTCACTGTAGTGTGAGTAGCCATATGGAAATTGAACTAGTGAACTAGAAGATACACCGTATAGCAGCCAAACAGGCATGACACTTCAGAAGATAAACAGAAACAAAATAACCACCGAAATGAAAACCACCCTTAGACTGTATTTAATAGTAAAT